TTAAGTCAGGAAACTGCTGCACTGTTTAAAAATTCCTGAAAAGGTTTCAAAATCCAGTTGATACGACTTGGGCAGCTGTGCAATTCCAAGGAGCTGCCATTTTAATGATGCTTCCAAGAGGAAATGCAGCATGACCTGTGTCAAGCCTGAAGGATGAGAAACGCCGGGAACGGAAGATTTCCACAGATGGCTTGAAGTGTCATGGGCAGTAACTATGTGGACATGGATGCAGGAGCAAACAAACGCCCAAGGGAGCACAACGGCGCGGGAGGAATGTCCTCTGCCCTCCCTGCGTTTAGCTGCAAAGCGCTCCCTGTCGTGCATCACTGTCAGGAGGCCGACAGCACCAGCTCCTTCACAAAACACTCTATCTCTGCGCGTGAAACCTAGCTGTGAAGCATAAATGGTTTTTGAAAAGCATAATATTGTTTTAATCATAAATTACTTTGAAACTCAGGATAGAAATAGCTCCAGATCACTTATTCCAGAGGAGCGATTTTTCCAGGCAGGATCCTTATCAGCTTCTCAGTGGGAACTGCATTAATGTTGCCACAAAAATGCAAACAGTAGTGCCTTTGATAAAACCAATTTGGCATCTCTTAAACAGCTAGATGTTTTGTTTTCTAAGGATATGACACCGTTTTCAGTGCAGGGACCTGCTATATGTGCCAGCGTATGGAAAAAAAAAGACGCCAGTTTTGTTAACATTTGCGGGGAGGAGGCCGCCTGTGCCGTTGCGAGGCGATATGCGTTGGGAGGAGGAGGAGGACAGCGCGGGAAGCCCGGCTGCGGACGCCTGCGGCTGAGGTGCCGGGGGCGAGATCTCCTCCTCATTTATGATTTACCTCCCTCTTCCCCGCACATGCTGGCGGGAAACTGGTCCGCGGCACTGCCTGGTTTTCCGTGCAGAGGAGGGGAGCGTTGCAGGCCATACAGTAGGCATCTTTGTGGATACCGTGAAAATGTCTTTGAGTGCTTTCTGGTGTCCCAGGGGTGTTATATATTTGGTTAGTGCATTATTTTGATTTTAAAACTGCGTTTGGTTCAAGAATCCTGAAAGGAAGCTGTTGTGCAACTGTTTTAATCTGATTTTACAAGCTGATTCCAGCTTGATTCCCGGCACAAAGAAACAAAGAAGAGCTCAGTTGTATTTTTTTTTTTTTTGGTCCAAAATTGAAAGGCCCTCCTCCTTTAAAGGTCTGCTATAGAATGTTATGTTTAGAGAGTGATTTGCTATTGTTTAAATTTAATCCCCATAATTACGTTGGGATTGGATTAATCACGGGTTATTTTTCTGAATCATTCTCTTCTGGCACTCACAGCTACTGAGTATAAAGCCAGGTCTTCATCAGATGTAAACTGGCATCGCTCCACTCAAGTCAGTGGAATAAATCCGCTTTATATTGTGGCAGCCCAGATGTGATATTATAGCTATTTCTAAGAAAGCACCCTTTTTGGAGTTTGTTGGCCTTGAATCTTTTTACTGCTATTTTTAAGCTGCCATTAACTTCCCATTGCATTATATTTATGGCAGCATAGCTAGCTGTTGTCTCTAGATCACCTCAGCTGGACCCAGAGGGATAAACAAAAGGTGGAAAGCCAAATTCAACTCTGCATTTCTTTGCTTTTTCTGTTTAAAAGCTGTCTTTACCACCAAGAACGTAAGCAGCTCTAAGTGGGAAAAGTTAATTACATACCTCCAGGAAGCTTCTATATGCTCTTACCTATCTTTGCACGAATTTGCGGGTGGGCAAATTGCCTTTTACCCGTGGTTCCTGCGGAAGACTGTGTCGCCGTCCGGCGGGAGGGCGCAGCGTCGTCAGGCGTCTGGCCGAGGGGGCTCGGAAGGAGGCACGCTCCTCATTCATCCCAAATGTTTTTGAAGCGTGGTGTGAAGCTCTTCCGCAGAGACCCGCAGGGCCGTGTAGAGCTGCTGCAGTCGTGGGAGATATCGGGAGTTGCTGAGCTGAGAGCGAGGCGGGAGGGAAGGATCCCTCCGGCACAGGGGCAGCGGAGGGTTAGCGTTCAGGCCTTTTTTTCAGTGTCTCTTTCAGCAGACCTGAGTTTCTTCTGGAGTAAGGAATTGTCTTGCTCGCTGCCTGTAAATTGGGGTTCCAAAAAAATCTCAGTTTGAAAAACTGGGAGCTTTTTCTTTGGGGTCCTTACTGTAAGGAAAAAATGGTCAATCTAAGCTGTAGTGAATTTAGGGTGTCATTGTAGTGGGTTGGATTGAAAGTCTGTTTAGCCTGCTATCCAACTGACAGGAGCTTGTACCACATTTCAGTGTTAAAAAAAAAAAAAAAAGTCATCTTTTCCCTGGTGCGTTCTTGCTGCTTCAAGGAACCACCCGTTTTTACCACTAAAACGTGTTAAAAGGAGAAAGTAGGTGTGAAGCCTTTTAGATTTCTTTCCTTCCTGTTCTAGCTGGTGCTTTGTACTCTTTGTTTGGTTCTTTTTAGAGGTTTTGAAAATACTGCTTATATTAGTAACAAAAGTCAGCTTGAATCTGTAACGGTGGTGATGCTTCTGTAGTCACGAGGGTCTGCCAGTGCGGCAGGGAGACCTGGTTTACTTTGTTAGGTTGCCCGATTGGAAAACCTAGACAAGCTCTCAGGCTCATCCTGGGCATCTGTTCAGAGGAAAAAGGTCCTGCTGCAGATCCCATACTTGTGGATGCCTGGGTCTAATGGTCTGGTAAGCACTTTTCTGAATAGGAGGCAAAATGTAAGACCCAAATGAAGGACTGGGACTTACATTGAGGTCGAATATCCTTCATCTTGGACGGATGACGTGCTTGCATGAGTGAAAACTTTTCTTCCCTCCTTCCCCCGTGTATCAGTTAGTCTAACAGAAGTACTCTTCACTTATTTATTAATCCTGCCTTGTACTTTGATTCTTGCTGCCTTTTGCTTCTTTATATAGCAACTGTGACCAAGCCTGGCTATGTCTGTTTTTTTAAACTTATATTAATTTTATCCTGTGGAAACTCTTGATGGCTATTATTGAAGAAATCCTGTTGATGTGGCCATAAGGTTGCAGCAGTAGATCAGTCACATACGCGGCGGTTTTATTAGTGGGGACTGTTGAAGCTGTGGTAATGTTTAAAGTATTTGGGGCCTAATCCACTGCTTCATTGCTCCAGATTTGATAAATACTATTGACTTAAAGCAGAAACTGACGGAGGGGATGGAGATGGCGGAGAAATTATCCCTCAGTTTGTTACGTAGCTATGCTCACAAATCTGTTCGTGACTCGAGTTTTTAGGGGCTTTGTCATTTTATTGGGCAGAAGGATCAAGGAGACTGAGAAGAAATGATTAGGAATGTTTTATATTTGTAATCAAACCAAGTTCACGAATACTTGGGCAAAACTCGCTCTGCATAAGCAGATGGTGAACGCTGGGGACTTTTATTGGAGTGTGGTCGTGACTGTGGAGCAAAACTATCTTGAAGCTCTTGGGGTACAAAAAGAGTCTCAAGTTTCAGATTTGTTGGGGCAGGACAGATGCATTCATTTGCAGCCCCAGTCCTTCTTCCTACCCTGCCCCCTCCAAGGAACGAGGTTGCCATAGAAATCATGATAGTTTATGTAGATAATAAAAGGTTATTTTATTTGCTTTTGGAGATCGAGGTTTTGAGTAAATGTTTAGTATTTCTTGGCTTTAGCTCCAAGGGAGTGAGCTAAAGACTTTCTTAAAGGCACTGCTGAGATGGTTACCCTGACACCAGACAAGGCGCTTCTCACATTTTTACCTGAACACCTGACCTGACACTTTTCTCAGGCTCTGAGGACTTGAGGAAAAATGCCAAATATCATGACACTTGGTGCTGTTGTTCTGCGTGCAAATGGTATTTACGCAGGAAAGACTGTTGTCCTGTTACTTCTGCATAGGAGTTACTTGAGATACAAGGTAACGCTGAAGCACAAGGAGTTTATTTCACTGCCTGCCATTAGGGTTAGTATTCTTTAGTCTAGGGTGTATGTATGTGACACGTGCAAACACAAGCATGATGGTATAGTTACCAAAATAGATGTATTGTGTTAATTTCTTAATTTTTTTATGCAGTGCTTTTAAAGTAAAAAGTATTGTGAGCAGTATGTTATTTTTAAACCAAGGACATTTTGTGCTGAAATTGGCTATTGCAACACTGGTTTAGAATTAGAATACACAAAATTCAAAACCACAGTAAGCCTAATTTTGACATTCTTGCCTTTTTAACTTCTCAACAATAGTGTTGTGTTTGTATAGTATTTAAAAATATTTGTTAAGAGGAATGTAAAGAGCTACTGGCAGGCTTCTCTGTTAACTGTTTATGTGTGCTCAGCTGGTCCTGCTGCTCAGAAATGAATTGCAGTGAAAAACTTGGAGGTGAGTGCTCCCAGAGTCCCCAGCTCAGACCCTGCTTTGCTTGTAATGCGGAGGAGCAACGGTAGCCCCAGCCGGGACAGGGCGGAGCGGCATGGCCAGTCCCACGGCCTTTGGCTTGAAGGATGCGCGCTCAGTGTGCCGCGATGGGCTAAAACCTCTGTACGGCGATTTCTCCCTTCCCAGTTCGCCTTGGTACATGCGTGCCTGCGTCAGTATTGTCTCCCAGGAGCTACTCTAGCAAGCGAGTGATAATATTCAGAATAATACAATTAGACCATGAGGATGCATTTTTATAATGCAATAGTTGTTGTCACATTGCTACAACACCTACTTCTGCCTGGCTTGTCCCTGACACCCCGGCAAATGGTCAGGAGAGGTTAAGGAAAGCCAGCGTCGCTCAGGGGCTGCTTGCTTTCAACCTGCTGCGGCTGTGAGCCTGCCTTATTTTCTCTGCAACGGGTTTGTTAAAGTTGGGACATGTGTGCGTCGATCTTCAGGCAGAAATTAGTTTTGGATTTAATATGTCACTGATCAAACCAACCTGAACGAATTCATGCAGGGCGGGGAGGGGAACTTGGAAAGCAGCTTGAGAAATCATTTCTCCTTTTTGCTGTTGCATTGCATTTTTGGCATGCACTATCTGCATTTTGAATAATAGGTCATCTGATGCGATGTAATGTGATAGCAATACAAACTGGGTAATCCTGGGAACCAACAGCTCGGATCCTGCCTTTCCAAATTTTACTGTTCTGAAGCTTGACTTCTTTGTTAAAAAAGAACTGCTTCCAGGGGGTAAAAAGCCCCCAGAGAAGAACTGTTGGCATTTTATATTTTTAAGCTGTCTTGCTGAATGAAAACAGTTGATTATTAACTTGATGGGGTGACAATGAGTATGTAGAACTTAAATATCTCACCACTCCCACGAAGAAAAAAAAAACCCACCCTCCATTGTATCATGGGAAGATGCATAGCCAGAAAAACTTTCCAACTCGTTAAACTTTTATACTTGCTTCATACAAGCTTAATGTGGGCTTTTTTCCGTCCTGTGATACTGTAGGGACACTTTTGAATGTAGGTGAGAAGGACACCCTCAGTACTTTTTTCTGGATATGCCTTTTTTGTATAACACAAAAAGCTAAATTGCTTAATCTGAACGACTAAAAAAGGTTTCCTTGCTTGTGTCTTTCAGCTTGTTTGTTCTGCTAATCCTGATAAAGAAATCACATTGAACATTTCCCCTGTGTTCAGTTTAGTCAGCTTCTATGATTGTGTGGGGTTTTTCAGACAAGGACAAGGATAAGGATGAAGGAAGAAAGCTTTTAAAAACAGGAAAATATTGTTGTAAACATACCGTACAAGCCATAAACTGTGAAAGGGTACTCGGAGTCAAATGTTGTACCTGAATCTAGTTTTGATGCTCGGTGGTGGATGCTTCGGTGGTAGTTTTTTTTTTGACTTCTTAGGAGAAGGGTAGGGGAGAATACCGATTTAAAGGACTAGAATTTGGCTGTATCGCTTACAAGCTCACATTTTGTATTGGACGTGAGAAGAGGTCAGGGCACCGTTCTGACTTGAGGCCTGGAAGTAACAGCAACAAGAGACTTTTTTGCTCACTCTGAGCTTCTGGCGCTGTGTTGTGTGTCCCTTTTGCAGATCAGGCAGGACGGCTCTTTGCTCTCCCTCGCGTGCTCTGGGAGAACGAGTCACATTTTGATGTGGGGCCGTGACTGGCAGGAAGCATACAATATTCCCCTTACTATTTCTCTCCAGTGTAATTTTAGTTTTCCTGCACCCTGCCAGGTTTCCTGTTGTGATTCTTGTTTCTTACTGCCTTTTCCAGGGTGTGTTGCTTGTTCTGATTGTGTCCTTCCATTTGTTCTTCCTAGTCCTCCTTTTTATTGCGCTTGACTGGGTTACTGCCTGCCTTTGCTTGTGCACAGCCTGCTTTCATCTTCTGCAGCAAGCCCTGAGGAGAAGATCCCATGCGCTCTGTTCAGCCGTGGTGGTGCATCTCACCCGCAGGGTGGCTCATCTGGTCCACCATGCAGGAGGAGGTGGACTTCAGTTTTGACTGGATGTTGCACCCATAAACAAGGACTTTGCAAGTTCTAAATCAAGAATTATTGCTTCATACTTCTGTCTCTCCAAAATAGCTGATTTAGACATTCCCTCACCATTAATTACATCCTCTCATCTTGTAGCAGCAAGTAAAAAGGCCATTCTGGGCACATCATTCTGCTAGAAACAGTCAAGCACGGCTTCTTATTGGTTGGACTCCTGCAAGTTTCTGAAAATACGCGTCTGGTCTGTTTTGAGAAGTGTGTCCTGCTGCTCTTGCGTCAGGATATGGAATAACCACACAGCTCGGTCCCTTTCTCAAGAGTGTGTCCACGCAAGTCAGACCAACTAGTTCGGTATTTTCCGAGTCACTCCCAATTAAAACCAGAGACAAATATTTTAAAGAGAAGTGCAGATCACTGATAAGAGATGGCCAGCACCGATTTAAAACAAAGTAATTGCTAGGTGGTATTAAAAGTGCGTCGTTTAACCCAGTGCAATCTGTGAAGGAGACGGTGGGTGGTGGCACAGCCCCCTTCCTGGATGTCACAGGATCCAGTCACGCACATTTGCCAGTAGTTTGACTTCTAAACTGCTCAGACAAATATGACGGAAGAGTGCCGAAACTGGCAGCATCTTCTGACTTCAGCGGCAGTTTGCAAGCTGGCCTGTGCACCCCGTAGCAGTTTCAAATGCAGCATCTTTTAAGTGCCGTGGACCGCAAAATGCTCCACAAGAGTCATGCGGAGGTGAAAAGATTTCCAGGCAAGCTTCAAAGAGAAGGATGTGACTAAGTGTCGTGCAGGGTGCCAGGACACAGTCACAGCCAGATGAGGCAGCTCAAATGGAAGAAGTGCTCCCAGCTGCCAAGGAAAAGGGAGAGAGAGCACAGAGGAAACTGGGACGGGAGGATGGCGATGAATAGGCAGACAGGAAAGGTAGAAGGGTACATCTCCGTGGGTTGTGTTTTGAACCATTAGGGGATGTGTCTCCTCTCCAGGGGAGGTAACCTGTGAGTAAGGCAGTGAAATTCAAGTTGGCTGCAGTTCCTGCCTCTCCCCCAAGCCTCCTATGCCTGTCCTTTGACAAATCACTCTCCCTGTGACTCAGTATCTCATCTGTAAAGTGGGGAAGGCTGCTTATCCTCAGAACATCCTACGAGGTAATCTCATGGATGCTTTTGCAGTTTGATGTATTAAAATGGAGGAGAAAATAAAAAATAACAGAAAGCGAGGATAAAGTCTTAACGTGAGAAGGAATCTGTCCTTCCCTCGCCTCCACGAGGCCTCTGAATTTCGTCACGTCCGTAATGATGATATAATGGCATCTTGTTCATTTGCTGGTGGGGACAATGTTTTGGTTTTAGGTTTTCCTTTTCAGAACTTTGAAGATGTAGTTATATGTGTTTATAGAATCTAATGTGTCTTTAAGCAATTTCTAGTAGAAAATCAGAATAAATAATGAATAGCAAACCAAATTCAGACTAATACAAGATGTAATCAAGTAACACAAGAGGATTGGGGCAAGAAGCAGAGTCTGTGAGAGGAATCTCATACAGAGAAAACACAGATCCTAAGGCATGTATCTGCAGGAGGAGGAGTTCTGGCCTGGGTCTTTCTTGCACTCCACACCCTGTAACTTACCTGAAGAGGGCCAGGGCCAGGGAGGATAACTGAAGAAAGCGAAAGAGGTCACTGCCTCTTTGCTCTCTCATTCTCAAAGGAGAAAAGGAAAGGGAACCCTATGTTTAGTTAACTTTAACCCTTGAAATAAATGTCATGTTAATCTTTTTCTAGTAACAAGGCAGCATAATGGCTAAAGCCCAAACCCCGGGGGCCAAGAGACAGCACCTTTTAGGACATTTGGTGGATTGACTTACCTTGTGCTAACACTTTATTTTGTCCTTACCTTGATGTCCTAATGCAAAATGGAGCTTGTCGTCTCCTCTGTTAGTCGAGGGGTGCAAGGCTTCAGGAAGTGCCATAAAGAACTTGGAGATCCGCAGGTGGAAAATGCTTAGGGAGTTCACAGGTTCCGAGTTACGAGATGTTTTAAACAAACAGGACCAAAATGCGTGGTCGTATTTTACTTGTCAAAGATGACTTTTCTTTAATAAATATGAAAATCTCAAAAGTATTAGCTAGAGAAGATGACCCTTATTTTTCTGATTTGTATTTGAAAGGCCAGCATTAGAAAGGTGGTTGTTGAGCAAGCTTTCATGGCGTTTTCCAAGACCATCTTTGGAGAATAAATTTGATTTTTATTTTCTTCAAGAAACAGGAGTCAGCATGTGGAAACCTTTTATTATTAAATTTTAGTCATGGTTCCTTTTTTTTCTTCCTTTATTTTTCCCATCTGCAGTTGAATATGACAAGGAGTTCACACCTCACCAGCAGCACCACAAGGAGTTCAAATTTAATTTATCTCAGATTCCCGAGGGCGAGGCCGTCACAGCCGCTGAGTTTCGGATCTACAAGGACTGTGTCATGGGGAGTTTTAAAAACCAAACCTTCCTTATCAGCATCTATCAAGTGCTGCAGGAACATCAGAACAGGTAGGCAAGTGGTGGTCCTTCTGCTTCGCTGTCTGCTGTCCTGAGGAAGGGTGAAGGTGGGGGTTCGTGACGGGGGTCGGCAGCTGGGAAGTCTGCTAAGTAACTGCTGCTTTTTTTGTTCAAACTGACAGGTTGTGTTCTTGCATGGTCCTTCCCTTCTGGGAAGGGGACACGGTAGAGTGCAAAAATGGACCTCATCTGAAGAAACTCTGCTCAGGGTGTCACTCACGTGCAATGCTTTTGTTGTCTGTAAATGAACTGAGACTCTGACATGAGGCAATAGAATTTAAAAGCAAAGATATTATATGCTAGTATTGCTCATGCATACCGAATTGTACATATCCCCTTTCACCTTAATAGTACAAGCATAAAAAACATAACCTGTTTGAAAAATACTGGTAATTCATGCAAGCTTGACCTGCTTTCAACTTTTGTATCTTTGTAAATTCAAAGCATATCAACTTTACCAAATTTTTACTAGACCGAAAACTGTTGATTCTTGAGCTATTTCAACATTTTACGTAAAGAGAAATGGAGATACCTTAGATAGGAATGTCAGGTTTTTGCTTTACTGGGAAACTTATCCAGGTTATCCACCTCCATTTTTTTCCTCACTGTGGAAATCCAATGACCTGTTGAGTGTAGTGTTCTCTGATAGATTAAAGTGCTGTTTAAGTCTGGTTTTGGGACCATCAATAAGATGCACTGAAAAATGCCGCCAAAGACAGACTGATGTAAAATGCACTGGAGTGTTTCTGCTAAAATTTTGGTGGACTTTGCATCAGATACTGCCTGCATGAGGTTTTGGTCAACTTTGATGTCTGTAAACAAACAAACAAACAAACTAGACATGCCTTACTGTCATATGGGGAAAAGCCTGGACTTTGCTGCAATTGGACATTGAATGATGTTTGATGGCAGCATGCTGACCGTAGATGCAAAATACTCCTGGTCTTTCAGTGGCAATGAGATAAGCAAAAGAGAGAGAGACTGGCACTGAAACTCCAGCACACAAATCGGAACAAGTGTAAACTGACTGGTTAATTTAAAAGGGATAACATTTGTGGTAGGGGAATCATGCAAAGCAAAAAGATGGAAATAATGTGGTCAAAATAATGCTGAGATACAGACGTGTTTCACTACTTTTGATGAAACCCGTCGACACTGTAACTGTTGCTCCTGCTGGAGGCAGAGAAAAAGAAAAAAGAAACATCAGTGTTTAAAGAAGCAACATGTTCTCTCCTCTGTGAAGGTTTGCCTGGTGTTTTCTTTCTGGCACTCCTTTCTCCAGCCTTCCCATTGATTCAGTTTTTGGAGATCTGCCTTTGATGAATTAGTGTTGTGAGGGTGACAGCTGAGGGTTGTGCTGTGGGGAGGGTGGCCTTTGTGGAAATGGAGAGAAATACTGGAAATAATAGGGTTATCAGTGGAGAATTATGCTGTTAAGAGGACAGTGTTCCCTTAGCACTTTGAGGTGTGAGTTGGAGGACTGTCTTCGAAGTGGTGTGCTTGCTAGGTAGGATGTTATGTCAATGCGCATTTTCTTCAGAGCTGATGTAAATCCCATGGTCACGCAGATTTTATAGATGTGGGCTGTATTGTTCATGGGCTAAAACATTTGTGAGTGTTGGTCTATTTTACATTGCGCAAATGCAGATCCTGTCACCTGAGCTGAAGGAAAGAAAATTTTTGCTCAAAGTAAATGATGCATAGAGTGCTCTGTGATAGTCGCCAAAGTAGGGTGTAGAATTACTTCGGGTTTCAGGTTGTCTCTTCTAAGGAGAACTGTCAACGTTCATGTGTATGTAACATTCTTTTTGGGTAAACTGGGCAAGCAAACAGTGTGTTGCCAGAAAGAGAATTAGGTAGGGGGTAGAGCAACTAACATTCCCCGTTCCTAACAAGTTTTCAAAATCTTTGATCCAAAAATGGCTTAGTTCTGTATACAGCAATGACATTGGCACCTTTTATCTTTATTTCAAACAAAGAAACATGCCAAAAATAGATGGCATTGCAGAGCTGGGATATGTGTCCTTAGACACGATGTACTTTAGCATTTATGTGTGACCGACAGCTCTGTATATGCAGAGCAGAGGTGGCACCTGGGATGGGAATGGCGAGGGCGCTCTCTCTCCAGAGCAGAGCTGGTGAGTAACTAGGGTCTCCCGATTCTCTTTGTTCGCTGCTGACTGCGTGTGCCGCAGCAGGCCAAACTGCCAGCAATGCACAGTCCCTGCTGACACGGGCTAGACTTGGACTGGTGACCCAGATATGAATGTCTGTTGGTCATTGCTAATCTCTGACTCATCTAATCAGCCCCAAGGCTCCTTTTTTGTTTCTTTTTCTTCGTTTATTTATGTATTTATTTATTTATTTATTTATTTGCTGGTGGGAAGGAGGGGGATGTCTGGCTAAAGAAACTTGCACTTTGGATGAGCTTGTGAGACTTGCCACAAGGATTCTCGTCTGCCCAGACATGGGCAAAATGGGTCTCGCAGAGTCTTGAAACTGTAAAAAGAATGTGCCCCCTTGTGCCCTTTTTCCTTTTAGCTTAAAGGACTATTTTAGACATGTAAAATGTAAAAACACACATGAAAATATGTATGCTTGTATAAATGTATGTATTCTCTGTATCTGTATCTGTATATATACATATATACATATATCTGTATATATATCTCTGTATATAAGAGTATGTTTTAATTGTTATCACTATATTAAAAGCATACAAATAAAGAGACAGTTATAATGGGATATTAGAAACTGCTTCATTTCAATTAGAAACTGCTTATCACTCTTCAATATTACCTTCAGTTTAAGTTCTGACTCTGTAGACTTGTTGATTCAAATGTGCAGCCAGGTTGGTGACGTGGGACTTCGGGCCTTTGAACGTTCTTGAAAACAAATACTAAAAAGTTGCATGCAGTTGTTCACTAATACCTCTGCATGGAGGAAAAAACTGTCTTTTGTCTCAGATTCTTCTGGGATGCCGTATTCTTTGAGTGACTTTATTTTTTGATCATCAGTTCACTTGTTAAAATTTTTTCCTAGCAAAAGCAAAAATTGTAAGTACTTTTTTTTTTTTCCCTTTTGTCTCAATGAATTGATTTGTTATATAATGTTTTCTTTTCCTGTTGGGAACCCAGAAGGAACAAACACAAAAAGCAGTATTTTTTTTGAAAGAAGCTTGCTAAATCTTTGTAAGGCTTCTACTGCTTTTTAGCAGACATCTGAAAGGCCAGAACATAACAGCTGTCTTTTTGCCTTAAAAAAAAAAGTGTTGTGTCATACTTCCTTTAGACTAATGGTTTGAATAGCAGCCTGACGTTTCCTGGCGTTTTATGACATCGCATTACATAAGGAATAATCTGTACCGATTGTGAATTCTCATTAGTAAACTGGCGGGTGAAACTTAAGAAATTGAAGTAGCACCTTTTTTCATCTTATTCTGTTGTCAAATATTTCTTCTGGTCAGGAAAATTCATCTCTGAAGGCCATATAAGATATCTGCTCAGTCAGCGTTGGCAGTCTCAATAGAAAGTTCAGAAACACCGATTTGATCTTGGCTTTTATGATGTTAACAGTTGTCTTGAGACAATTCTCTAGTCTCTACAGTAAACCTCCTAAGTCATCTTGGTAGCTAACGAAATACAGATAATTCTTAATAGGACAACTGTCAGCTATGGGATTTAAACCACTACTCCACAAGTGGAAGGCAGTGTGGGCCTTTGAGAAAAAAATATAGAGGAGAAACCTATCTAAATGGTTGCAGGGGGGAGCATTAGATAAGTAGAGAGACAGATTCAGTAAATACAAAGCTTGACCAAAGCTCACAGCATAGACGTATCCGTTGGTTCTGATTAAGTGCAATGAAGTGGCTTAATTCAGTATTACTTGAGCAGAAAATGATCCACTGGTCAGTAACAGTAAAGTGTGAGACTCCAAACCAGATGTGAGTGCTGTTTAATAGAGTCGCAGGGCAGCTTGGACAATTACCTGAAGCACAGCATGATTAAAACCAAAACCAAACCTGAGCCTAAAATTTCTGCCATGGCTGCCTGTTACTGAATTATCAACCTCATAGGCAAGGCTAAAGACAAGGATTGCATAGACCCATTCAAAACCGTCTCCTAGTTAGAGGTCTATGCAGAAAGGACGAGAATGATCGGAGATCAATCAGTGCTTATTGAAATAGCACAAAAAGACCTTCAGGGAGTTATTTGACACTCTTCCTGCGGAAAGCAATCAGAAACATGAAAACGATCCCCGTAGAGTCTGGAGGCAATGAAGCACACATTCAGGACAGTGCGATCTAAGTACATTCTCTCTTAAAAAACAAAAACATTTTTAATACTGACTCACTTGTGTCAGTAATATTTTCATCTCCCCATTCCTTCCACCCTTTCGTAAGGTAAAAAAAATAGCACCTAGAAACTAGGCTCTTGTTTTAAAACCAAACCAGTGTAACAGCCACATTATGTCATAACACAAACCGCTGGAGTTGTCAGTGGAAGGCTGCGAAGAGATTGATGAAGCCTTTATGATAGGTGAAGCTTATGGCCGACTGCATTACACAGATTTCTGACTGTGTGGAGAAGAGACTTATAAACCAGAACCGAGGTGACGTTTGATTCGCTCTGCGCGGCACGGTTTCAGGCTTTGAAACAGGCAGTGGGCTAGTCCGAGGTTAGGAGGGGCAACGTGGTGATACCTCCGTCTGGTGCTGCTTGCTTTCAGCTTCTGACCCTCCAGAGTTTTAAGAGACTGCGCTGTTTGAGGTCTGGGCTGGGTTATTTCTTTATTTTTTTTATTGCATATGTAGAAAGGGAGGAGATTTGCCAAAGCAGCACTTTAGGGACAGACCTTTGTGTTAGCTTTCAAGTGTTGGTCCCCCCTTCTGTGTACCTGAGGGGGCTGTGTGGTCTCAGCAGGCGGCACAGATGGTAGCGCTCCAGCGTGTCCTCTCCTGCTTTTTGTGATGCTGAGGCACAACTGAGCCA